GGCCAGGGTTTGACTTTGTGTGGACTATATAGGATTCTGTGGCCGCAAAATATGTTCTTCTAGGTCACATGACCTGGCCAAAGATGGTGCGTCATCTCCCAACTAACATAATGAGTATTTCAAAAGGGGAACCACGCTTTCAGCATTGATAGTGTCAAGCGCTGTATATTGTCCTGAGGAATAATTTAAAATAACTCATATGCGTCAACTCTTTAGGTCACAAAGTTAGCAGTGTTCCTTTAAAGATAGAAAAAAAGCAAAGTAAGGCTTTGATTACTTGGATCAAGTTATAGGAATAAGTATTTTTTTTTTTATCTAAATTTCCAGGTTGAAATAGCCTTGTGGATCTGAAAGTTAATGTTTATACTGAAAAACTGCCAAACTGATTAAAAAGAAAATTGATTTTTTTATAAAGTAATTAAGGGTAGAATCCATAAATTCACTGAATGCATTTGGTTTTACATTTGAGAAAGCCATATACAGTAGCAGCCATTCATTTTCAATCTCTCAAATATTAAACAAATCAAAAGTTGTTTGTCTCTTTGAAACTATTCAACTAAATTTTTTTTTATTGTACTGATGAAAAATGAACAATATTTTTTAATATTTCTCTCAAATATAGTTATGGTTTACACAGTCGCTGCAAATGTTCCTGAGCTTCTTGGATCTCAATGGTAAAATCATTATTATAATTGGCTTCTAATTAGCCCTGGTCCCATCTGAGTTGTTTTTACTTGCATTTCAGAAAATAGTCAAATTTAGTGATTTTATAGAAAGGAATATCCTGCACTGGCAGGTTTTCTTTCTTCCTCATTCTGAAGGCAGGAGAAATTCATGAAGGATATCTTATTTCAGCATTCAGCAATCCATTATAGAGCCTTTCATGCTGCACCTTTGTTCAACCTCAAAATGTTTAAATAAAGATAAAACATTCCAAGAAGTAATTGAAGATCAGTATCCTAAATTAGCACCAGACTTTATAACACTTAAAAGGGCTATCATTAACACCATAGGATAAGATGGTAACAAATACATTTTCCTGCCTGTCAGTAGACTCATGCAGAAGGTGTGTTGGAGAAAGTTATAAGAACACAAACAAACAAACATAAAATACCCTAACTTTCTCATTAACATTTTTATCATCCTATGTTTAATCATCCCATGGGGAGTGTTGGCCTAGTGGGTTAGAGCAGTGCGCTTGTGAGAAGGTTGCTCCCCAAGGTTCTGCACAGTGGCAGCCCACTGCTTCCCAAGGGGATGGATCAAAATGCATAGAACAATTTTCCCCATTGTGGCACAATAAAGGGATTTATAAGTTCATGCCAATTGTCAACAATATATGCAAGCGTTTGATATACCTTTTTAAAATGTGGTGCTGTATGAGGGATTAGGCATTGAACTCATTTATGGTTCTCCAACACCCTAAAGATCTCTTTTAATCTAATTTATTAAAGTTATGTTAACTTCTTCAGTTATTTGCCAATAAAATCAGACTTTGCCCTTGTTCACAAACAGAGGACCTTTTAAAGAGCTTTGTTTTCTTCTGAATACGAATATTAACAGTTCTGCCTTTCACCCTCAGGCCTCTGTAAGAAAAGTCACCTTGTCCTTTTTTTTCTGGTTTGGTAATTTCCATAAAAACATTTAACTAGGGGTAGAACCAATTTGTTTTCACATTGCATTAAACTGAAATCTAAGTGTGAACTTTACTTGTTAAACCCATTTATATTGAACAGATTAGTCGAAAATATTTAAGGTTTACAAACAGATTATCTTGCAAACTTGTTTTATTTACTTTAGTTGTAATCATATGTCTGTAATATTCACTAAAGAACTAATCTTTAAATTTCTTTAAAAACCTGTTTGAACAAGGAGTTGAATATCATCATGACAGAAAATCTTCAAGAACTGTTTAGTCATTTAAAATTTCTTAGTATATAGAGTTTTCAACTACGAACTCGGTCACATTTTTTTTCATATTTCAACAATCTTTAAACTTAAAAGCTCAAGAAATTTTTTCATTTATTTCATAACATATTGCTTTTCATGCTGGGTATAGTATGTAAAAGGTAATGTTAAGTGATTGTGTTTTGCATATTTGCTAAAAGGTTCATTCATGGTCGTGTTGAGCAGACCTTTTTCATGCTGTCTTCCATAAATGGCTTCAGGCAAGCTCAGAAAGGTAGTTTTTATCATTTCTTTTTAACAATAGCTTCATTCTTGTCACTTTTCCATAAAAGCTAGACAAGAGGTCAGACAAGAGCAGCCAAGAGGCCTGCTCTTCCCTGATTTATACTCTTCTTCCTGGACCTGTCACTTTAGGCAAATAGTCATACCTTGATACGTCTGCAGCTGTGCCACAACCTATCCATTGTGGGATGATCGGTTGAGCAGTGCTCCATGCTATGCTATAATCTTGGGAATTTGTTTTATAATCCTATACTTAAAATAACCCCAAAAAAATCTTCCTCAATTTTCTTCTTAAACTGTCTGCTGTTCTTTGTTTGAGTTGATGCGGCTTAATTGCAGCTGTTTTCAACAAACCCACATGGGCTTCCCAAAACACCAGAATATTTACAGCTCCGTTAAGTATTTATGGGACTTCTGAAGGTGGCTTGCTGTGATGTTTCTTGTTTTTCAGAATAAATTAAGCTAAATTTAAATGCAAACCCCACTTTTCTTACTGTTTCTGAATAGCTTTGAAAAGTTTTTATTTTTCAGTTTTGTGACTTTGAGTTAGTCTATCAGAAAACTATTTATGAAATACATTGACATTTATGGTTGCAACGTGAAAAACTGTGAAAAAGGGTTCACATTGAGTTTAAATATGTTGTAAGGTTCGGTATTATGATTACTTCTGGTGTTCCTGTTCTTGGTGCTATTGCTCTAGTATGGTTCTCCATATGCTCCCTCTAAGACTCCAGTGAATTATAAAGCTGAAGGTTGGAACACACTGTGCCTTCACAAAAATTGCTAAGGAACCAAACCAAAAGTAACTCATATATAACAGCTCGTATGGGAGATTCCATAATGTTATTGCAGCAGGTTTCCATCTGACATATCGGTCCATCAGTTGTTTGACAGCAAATCAAAGAAGTTATAACATTTAGTGTTACTTTGAAAAGAGTGCAAGAGGAGGGAGAGAATTATGGAGGCATTCATACATAGTTAATAGAAGAGCCACAGTAATCATGGCAGCTGTCAAACTGCATGTATTTTTTAAGACGATAATTATGGATTGAATTTAATGGGGATGAATACATCTATTGGCCAAATATGTTCCTTTACAATAAGCTTTAGATTGAATTCGAAAATATTCACACATTGTGAACTCGGCTTTTGGAGCTCGAACTGAGGAATTAAGGATTATTTTTTACTGCAAGTATTTGTCACACTTTGAGGGGAGGTGCTACAGGTATAGATCATATCTATACTGAGTTCGAATTCAGGGGCTGCGTCTTCCAAAGGCCAGATTACGTCATAGCGCTATGCTGAGGCCTTTTCGGATTGGAAGACTCCTCGTTATGCGGCCGGCAAATGCATCCTTCTTTTAGCCCGTTTTGAAGGATGTGTATCCTACGTAGCCTTGGGTATCCCCTGTTTCATTGCGAGTCCAAGCAAGCCAGCTGCTCCATGTTCAGAGGAAAAAGGTAAAGGGCACCGAACAGTGGTGAATATAGGAAGTGCAGTTTAATATAAGGAAAGTGTGTGAATAGTTACGTCTTAAATTAATAAAAAATATTTGTTTATAATGGTAATTGAGTCAAATATATTGCGGGTAATGTTTGGTGTATTGAAAAGTTTTATCCGTCTCTGTGTAAATGGGTTTGGCTGACATTTAAGGACAGATTCTAATATCTCTGCAGCGCAGAGACTATAAAGCTAATATCCGCGATGACGGTGATGCTGCTAAGGCTCCTCAAAAATGTTATTAGCACCCAGAACAGCAGTGAGAGGTTCCCTATCCATTCTTTGCCTGCTTTGTGTGTCAACTTTCACAGTTGCTAGGCGACAGAGCCTACGGGCGGGGAAAGCCGGAGAAGGCTGGACCTGTTTAAATCCATTGCCAAAACTCGGCCTCCTTATGTTCACGTTTTTTTTGTTTGTTTTTTGTTTACATTTTATCACTGCTGCACTTTAAGGAATGGAAAATTATGAAAGCTTTACAAAACAAAATAAGAGTTGTCTAAGTCTGAGTCTCTAAGTCTATGTCTTATTGAGACTATAATCGTTTTCCAAAAATAAATTTTATGTAGACATAATGAGGAGCATATACCAGAGCTAGAGCAGCTTCAGCTGGTTATTTATTCCTCATGTAAATTGTTTTTTTTTTTTATAAGTAGGTGACCTTATTTTTATGATTTCCCCAATACTATAATCAAGCAACTTTTGTTTGAAAACAACCTGTAGCTTTAATAGAAATGTGGAATTCACATGCAACGCACGCCTTGTCATTGCCTATATACTTATCTTGTGCCCTAACCCTATCCCTTATAATACGGTGCTTTTCCTGTCTGTTTATATACCATTTACAGAATTTGTTGTCATTTGGAGTATAGACTGTTTAAATATGTTTTTTTTTTTTTATTATATTGTGTGTTTGAACAAATTGTTAACCAACATTTGTCCCTTTGTGTCTGTTGTCTTTTAGCTCCAATGTGTGGCGGCCAGTTAAAAGGACCCAGTGGTGTCATCACATCTCCTAATTATCCTGTTCAGTATGACAACAATGCCAACTGCACTTGGATCATCACAGCGACAGACATGTCAAAGGTAATTTTCGCTTAACATGGGATCCACATGGAAATCTGTTAAGATTTTAATTGATTATTGGCTTTAAAAAAAAAAAAAAAAAACACTTCCACTAACTGTTTCCAGCTGACAGAAGGCAGAGAGAGGAAGCAGAGAGATTGTGAAAGACATTTAACTGAACCTTTTTGAGCAGAGGATGCAGTTTTCTGCCCTGAAAGACTCGTTTTAGGCTCTTGAGAATTGTTACAGGACACTTTTGGGGCTGTTAAGCACGCCATATGATATAGTGAAACGTAGGAGATAAAAAAATTAAAGGAGGAAAGGACTGGATGGGAGCCAGCAACAGACCGAGCACGTAGTTAGAATTACCTGTGGCGGCACAAAGAGGGGGAATTGGACAGCAGAATAATGGAAAGGTTTTAAAAGCATGCTTAGAGGAGAACATGAAAGTCTCATAGCCCTTCTGTTTAGACTATTGACTTTGGAGTTGTGTTCAAGGCCATTCATCTGCTCTTCTGCCAAATATCTCTCTATAAATCGAACAATGTAGTTTTAGAAATCGGTTCCCCCTTTTCACAGCAATGAGTGAGAGAGGCTATGTGTGTAAGGGGCAAGTCAGAAACAATACACTTCCACCAATGTGGCTATAAAAACACTCGGTACACCCAGCAGGCTGCACACCGGAACGCATCCTGGTACTTTAGGCAGTTTCTTACTTTGTGTTGTTTGGATGAGGATGGAACTAGGCTGTTCCTTCTGTTTACGAATGTAATGAGCTTCTATTCCTGTCCGCCTGCATAGACCTAGCCAGAGGAGGTGCTAGCTGAGGTAAAGCAGAAGGACTGGAATAAGACATGACAATGATACCTCTAGGGCCAAATTCAATTTCCATACATCTTGACACATGTGTTGTGGTTGATTGACTTGAAAACAGTGAAAGTTTCTTTCTGAGGTGTTAATGATATTGATAAGTCAATAGCAAGGATCCAGTGTTTTTTTTTTGTTTTTGTTTTTTTGTTTTTTCATTCTGATATGACTTAACTGTTGCACCCACCTTTAGAGACTTTATGCAATGGAAAGTTTTCTTTCTTCTTGGAGAGAAAATTGAAGTTTCAAGGACTTGTTTGTTTTTGGCAGGGTAAATATGACCAGCTATCTTTTTGCTTTCAAAGCTTCTGTTTACTATAAAATCAAACTTGCAGTAAAAATGTGAAAGGTGTAGCTCTAATAGTTTGGTGCTTATGTAGAATTATACAAAGAAGGACATACTGTATGGAGAGATTCTTTGAAAGGCCTTTGAATTTCTTTCTAGTTTTTACTGAAATGTCAAGTTGGATTTCAATAAAAAAGAGCAAGTTTGAAGCTTTAAAGTGATTTTCAAGACTCGTAACAGAGAGAACCAGTATCCAGGCAAGACAGACAGTGAGATAACCTTAAAAGCTTTTATTAAAGCAAATAACGAACATCCAATCAGATGGAGGAAGTCAGGATAATCTAGAGGGCGAAGTCAAGAGGCAGATCCAGGTTCAGTCCACAGTAGAATTCAACAGAATCTGAAGACAGGTCAGGCAAACAGATCAGAACAGGGGGAAGCAGGCTCAAAGGTCCAAAGACAGAAACAGGTCAGGATCAGGCATCACTATAAGTACAGCTAGAAAACTGATACCAAAGACTCAAGAATAATCTGGCACTGATGACAGGGACCAAGCGGTTTAAATAGAAGCTGGAGTAGGTTGATCAGATTAACAGTGATGAGAAAACCGAGCATTAGAGGACAGGTGAATGAAATGAACAATTAAGCCAGTCATTGGCGTCAAGTTCATGACAGTGATAAAATATGGAAAAGTTGAACATTTTTAAAAGCCCTTTAAGAGGGTCTATTTTTAGTGTTTGTGTTGAGACTCCCTGTAAAACACTGCATAGGGGTTTGACTATTAAAAAAAACAGACATGCACATGATCCTCTTCACCTGTTCATTTAATGCTGCTTTTCATAACAGTCTCATAGTGCAGTTGTTAAGTGTTTTGTTTTTTCTTTTGATGTTTTTCTCCCCCTTTGACTTCACTTGTTGGCTGACAGATATGAGATAGGTTTGTAGTAAGAAACTCTATTTATCGAGCGATCTGACCTATTTTGACAACACATCATCAATCTTTTCTCTCCACCTTGGCAATTTTCATTAGGCACAAGGTTTAACATAGTACAGAATGCAATTTGCATTTATATAAGCTTTTTCATTAGGCCTTGCTCTCTCAGCCTTCTGAAAATGTTATGAATTTGTCGGAAATCAGTGGCACCCAATATAATCTTGGAGGGAAAAAATATTGCTCTGTTTTAGTGATATCCTCCCTATCAGCTTTATTATTCTCTCATTTATTGCTGGTTTTAATTGTTGGTTAATTAACACGTTTATCTTTGCTTATTAGAAATTTGTTATTTTGAATGTGGTGTTTGAAAGTTGACCCTCTAATTCTTTACATATTTTCAGACTTTTAATAACTTTTTATTGAATGTAAAGTGCCTAGATAAATAGTCTTACTTCTTCCACATTTTTTATAGTTTATATGTTTTTATTGAGGTTTTACTGGATAAACTAAGACAAAGTAGATTATATTATCTTGTCAGTGATACAGTATAGATGGTTTCCCACATTTATTTTTTACAAATGACATTTTTTGGGGGGATTGCACCCCATGATACAGCACTACCCATCACCTGAAACCTTCTGAAAAACATCCCTAGCCCTGCCAAAGAAAAGCATACCTGCAATATGGTGAACCCTCCATGTTTAACCCTGGGTATTTGTGTTGTTAATTATGTCTAGATTTTGTATTTGGTGACCAAGTTTTTACTTGATTGACAGGGAAGTCTCTTGTTTTACTGTGGACTGATGGATAAAACATATTAAAATCCTGGCATTAGTTTAATGACTCTTTAGGATTCTCCTCAACATAAGAAGTGACTTGACTGATGTTTCTTGGCCTTCAGCACATTGTTTATTCATTAATGATTTTCAACTTTACTCTTACACAGTCACACAATTGTTGTATTTTAACTGTGTTTACATTGTGCAGGGGGTTAGGGTCAACTTATCAGGTGACTTTGTAATTATCAGAACAGATACACCCAGAATTCAAACCAGACAACCAGTGTGAAAACTTAACACAGTTTATTGAAGCGAAACTGCTGCAGGTGGTGTCAGCAACTAGGGCAGGAACCTCTGAGAACTAAGACTGAAGATTGGAGACCAGATTAGATTTACAATGTGCATCAATCACAAATGTAATGCTTACTAACCTTCTCTTAGTCCTCAGTCTAGAAAAACCACAATTAGATTCGAGCTGGTTGACAACAGCGCTGATGTTGCTGTCACTGGTCAGGAAGTCCCAGAGAATAACTCCATCTGAATTAGGATGATCTGTGGTCAGCAGAGGGTCAGAACCATGAAGACGATGTAGGAAGGAGGAACAAGAGGACAAAACAGAATCCATAGTCAGAGGCATAGTCCAGGGTCAGAGCTAGGTGATCAGAAGTCTAATGAAGAGCCAGAAGGAAATCCAGCAGGAGGTCAAGAAACAGTTCCTGGTTAGGCAACAGGGCAAGCAGAAAAACAAATCAGGCTCAGGCAGAAAAAGCAAACAGTCAGTTAAGACAGGGATCAGGCAGGTTCAGAAACAGGGCCAGATCAGGTCAGGCAGAGAGGCAGGAAGTCAGGAATCAGAACGCTGGAATAGATCTCACCAATGAATCCAAATAATCTGGCAATGATTTTGGTCTGAAGGCTGGTTATATACTGATAGGTGCAGGTGGGTCAGATTGGTAGTAATCAGAGCTGAGAAGGTGTGACTTGTGAGGAATCACCAGCATCAGTGTTGAGATCACGACAGATTTTTGAGTCAAAGTTGTCATTTTAGATTTTGATTAGTGTGGTACTGTAAGCATTTAACTCATTAAATGCATAACACATTTTTTCATTGTTTTCCCCAAAATATTATAAATCCTTAAATTTTTCCCATATCGAAGTAACACACCACGTTGCCTTGATCTCATAAGTTATTAACTAAAAACATTGCATTTTGTGGGATAATTAAAAAAGAAATTAAGAATAGTATAAAGAGAATGCATACTGTATATTTATTTTCTGTCAATATAAATATGTGAATGCTTTTTTTTTATTTTATTTTTTTTTATTCTGCTTTAAGTATTTTTAAGTCTGAAAATGTTCTGCCTAAATACATGTCTCTATCTGCCTTCTGTTTTCATGGTTTCATTCAAATGAGGGCTAGAGGAGCATACTTACTGAGTCATGCAGTCATATTGAAAACTGTTTCTCTATTTTACAAACATAAGAGACAAATACAAAATCCAACTATTCTCAAAAAATAAGAAAATTGGTTAAGAAAAGTAAAGCTGTATATGCAAGTTTGAAGCTGCCTCATAAGTTTCTCTTGAAAAGTGTCTGAAAAATATTCAAATGAGAGTCTTGAATGATGGACTGATGGACAGGGGCATCGGGAATCACAGATGGAAGGAGGTCTCTTCTTTGCACCTGATCTCCGGTTCATTCAAGCATCTGTCAGTTACGCTTCTCTGGGCGATTTCTCTGCTGTTGTCTAGGTGATCAAGCTGACATTTGAGGATTTTGACCTGGAGAGAGGGTACGACACCCTGACGGTGGGAGACGGTGAGCTTGTGGGAGACCAGAAGACCATTTTCCATGTGTGAGTGCCTTCTTTTTGACCTTCATCGTTTTTTCCTCAAAATGTTTCCTTTGCCCATTGGGATGCCAGTTATTTCAGTTCTGCCAAATGTGTTCCAATGCCGTTCTCTCTTCATTTTGACTCTGTGTTGTAGCTCTTGCTATTAGTTTTCCTCTACCTCCTCAGACCCAGCAGTAGCCCACTCTCTTCCTTTTGCCCTGAGCCCTTATTTTTCATCGGTACAGTTTCCCTTTTATTTCATCAGCACCTCATGCAGTTGGGTATTAAAAATAGATGTCAGACTGCATTGTCAATCAGGGATCTTTCCAGTTATGAAAAAGCACAACAGCTGGGTGATGCAGCATTGCAAACGGCATACTGGTGCACTATAATATTGTTTGTACTAACAGATACTAAACTTACAGATTATTATAATATATGACAAAATATACCATATTAACAAAGTCTGTATAGATCTTTTTTTGTTACCCGAATGTTGCGAGTCAGGGGGATAAATGTGGCTGAATTTTATGAAGAAAAGATTTTCACAGAAGTAGCTTCCAAAGTTTAATATTTTTGTTAAAATAGGCATATAGTTAGAACACAAACATAAAACTGCTCTTAGCCCACTAACACTAAGAGAATCAGCTGTTCAAGTAATGATCCATACTCATTGACAGAACCCTTAAAGCACAAAAGCCCAATTAGTAAATTAGTCATGGTATTCTTGCCAACAAATGAAAAGGGAGTGAATTGTTGGTGCAGCTGTAGGTGTTTTTAAACCCTTTAAGCCTACAAGCATTTGTGAAGTTGTTGTTTGATTTCTCCAATAAAGCAGACTGGACAGTCTAAATGTAAAACGAGCAACTACATAAACACATTACACAGCACAGGAGAGGAAGAAGCTCTGGGCAATATATTGCTGTATAGTTTTACCTCAAGTACAAAGGACCCATCTTTGAGAAACAGAATGTTGAGATTTTGGACAGAGAGGATAGATGGCTTGAAAGAGGGTTGGAGGCAGCCATCTTAGATAAAAGAAAAATAAGCCATCATTTAACAGAGAAGGATTGCAGGTTCGGATTCCAAGCAATTCAGTCATGGAACTCAATCCAAAAAAGTTACACAAGAAAGATTTTACATAATCACACTCCATGATTGAAAGGTCTGAACACAAAATCAATACAGAACAAAAAACAGGATAACGGCAGGTGTATATATCTGTCCTGGGGTTTGGAAAGTTAGAGTTACATGTTGCTTAAAAAAATCAAACTAAAGATTGTTATAGTGTGAGCCGGCAAAATTGACTCCTGCATCAGTGTCAAAACCGTCTGTAGAAAATCTGAGCAATAGTTGCTTCCTATTTGTGCCTGTTTTGTGGTTTCCATAACTAGGATGAATTTAAACAACCAAACTTTAACATACAATATGAAAAAAGTTTATAACATATTTGTCTTTATTGTTTAATAAATGTTATTTTTGTTTTGTTTTTTGTTTCAAGCATTCTAAAGAAATACAATGGAAGGTTCATTGTTATTCTAAAGCAATAAACCTAAAGAAAAAAATAAGCAAACCAGGGTTGCCTTTTTTATTGTGTATGTAATTCTATTTCCCCAACTAAAAGAATTATGTATTTTAAAATATGCATTTACCCTTAATGAACCCATAGCAGAGTGAGTCACAGCTAAGACTTAGCCAATGTCTTTGCTGAACTTCAAATGGCAGCATGATTGTTACTACCGTGTAATATCTAAAGTAGCACCAAATGTATTTGTTTTCTTTCACATGCACATGTATTCAACTTTTACTTATTCAGCTTTGTATCACACTCGTTTTCAGTTGTATTCATTTGTGGAATCATGGAAATTGTCTAAATCAATAAGGGGCTCCATCTCACAATTGATAAACCTCCTCTTGTTCTGAGGGATTTTTATTTTAACACTCCCTATGAATATTACATCCTACAGGTTAGGAAATTAGTACTGATAATAAAATTGAGATCTCACTTAAAAGAAGAATAAAAATCCACACTATCCCTTTAATGGGGAAACTTTAAAGATAATAGATTGTTAATTGATAATTGGGATTGCACCTGAGGCTGTTACAGAAAAATTAGTTTTAAATGTATCAGTTATCAAGAAACCAGTAAAAATAATTGCTTTCTACCTTTATACAGCTGAAGTCGTGCAACCTGAACTGATAATACATTTAGTGCTTAGTTCAGGAAAAATAAAATGAAAGAGCAATAGGCTGGGAGTTGCATAGTCATCCTTATTTTCTATGAGCAGTTAAGTACTTTGTTCCACACCTACATACTAACAAAAAATATGACAGGAAAATATATATTTTAAAGAGGTGAAAATTATGTTACAAATTCAACATTGCCAGCCACAACCAGCTATTTCTCTATCCTTAATATTCAACCACTAAAATTAGAGCTGTTAGTCTCTTACTCTGCAGCTATACGCTTCCTAATTAGAGTTGGGTGGAATTACTATTCAAATAGGATTAAATTACTGCTGTGACATTGACTGATCTTTCCTTCATTTTCCACTTTCTTGTCCCTTGCTGTTTAGCATAACGGCTTTGAAATTTTTCAGGTTTGAGCTTCTAATAAGAGCTTAAATGTTCAGTTGTTTTTCATTTTTCTTTAACCATATCTTTCATGTTTTCCATTTGCAGTCAAAAGAATGCAGGGGAAGAAAAAATTATTTTACAGTAACAACAACTTGATAGTAAACAAAAGTCAGTAAACACATCACTCTGTAGAACATTGTACCTCTGACTTAACTATACATATATATGTATGAATCATTTTGCAGACTGTCTGGTACGACAACTCCAGACCTCGTGGTGAGCACCAGTCACCAGATGTGGCTAAATTTCAAAACGGATGATACCAGTGGCTCCCTTGGATTTAAAGTCACCTATGAGGGTAAGAATGAAAACCATCGATTAACATTTGATTTACACCAGATTTGATGCCAATATTATTTTGAATGATGTCTTACTTATCAACAAAATGGGTATTAGTTTAAACAAGCCAACGTAATCTGTGACCATTCAAATAGTTTCTTTTTTTTTGTTTGATATTTATTGCCAATCTTTAAAGAACCACACTAATGACATTAGAATAAGAATTGTAGGTACTCATGGTTCAAGGAATGGATTTGTTTCATCCTTAAATTATTTAAAGTCCAGAATCTTATTTTTATAAAGAATATTACCAGTAAAAAGACTTAAAGATAGGACTGTTTTCCCTTGAAAACCACCTGAATGTCTGAAGTAATTATTTAAAACAACTACACCTCAGTTGTGGGAGTCTCAACAAGGATGTTAGATGTCTCTATTCCTTTACATACAATAAAAAAATAAAAAAAAAACAGAATTATGATACAATGTGTTACCAATTTGAGCTGCATAATTATTCCCATATAGAGAACAATCATATTGTACAATACAAAAAAAAGAAAAAAGAATTGATCCCAAAGGGAAATTAAGTAAGTTATTGTAATGTTCTATTCTTAACCTGACCTTAACGTGCTGCTGTGGGACCATCAGACAGCTTTTCTTAAATAATTGTTATAAATCTTAACAAGATGCGGATATTTTGTTTCTGCTTTGGAGGCTGATAGAGGCATATGGAACCCACTGCATCAATTTATATACACTACAAGCTTTTATGGTGCATGGCCATTTCAGAGACCATTGGAAGCCAGGGTGGACATGTGTTACCTGAAAGGAGTTAAAGCTTCCATCGTTACTACTCTGATCTGCTACATACAGCAGTGACAGCCTCAGAATGGCTGTGGTAGCAAAGGGTTTGGCCCTTGGCAGCTGGGGGATCGGTTCCTTGGCCGACCCAGCGCTCCTGGAGGCGGTCCCAGCAGTGTGGTTGGGTTTGTGGGACTCAGTACCCTGCATCTTTTGCTGTGCTTCCTTATCCTGGGGATGTTTAAGTTGCTGGCGACCTAATTCAGTATGGGGCATGTGGCTGCCTTGGATTAAAGCTTTGAGTGTGGCAGCTTTAGACTCCTGGGGTGGTTCTAACTGCACCTTACTGCTCTTAGTGAATGGTGGGCATTCTACCATTGTAGGTTTCAAACTTGCTCACAGAACGACAAACACATTCATTCCTTTACATATGTTTAAATACCCACAAACACAAAACCATTCCACATGGTTGAAAGTAAAAAAAAAAAATAATAATAAAAAGACTTCATTAACATTTTAGTGGTCTGTTTACTTTCATGCTGAATTGAATCTGGATTTAATAAAGTTGTTCAAATAATTAGGATCCTATCTTGAGATATTCTTTTTGTAGAGAAAAACTACCCAAGCACATGTAAGCAGCCATCTGCTCCACATGGTCTTCCTGTAATACTGCAACAGGACATGTATGAAATATAAATATATAAATACAAAATTAATAAATAAGTTAGTGTTTCTATTTGTATATGTAGAAAGTTTTTTTTTTTCTTTATGAAAAAAGCTATTTTCTATCCATCTATCACCTGCATTACCACTTTTAGAAACTGATTTGAATATGCAGTTCCAAAATCTGATATCATTTTATTCAAGTTCACAAGCTTGATTGAGTTTAGGTCCTAAAACTTGTTGGACATTTTTTTTCCTTTTTTTTTTTATAATTCAAATCATCATCATTATTAGAAATGTTTTTTGCAGATTAACAGACTTTGATCAACACATCAATGGAATATATTGATGGCTTACAAGGACTTCAAATGTAACAAAGGTCCAATGAATGTTTTAGGGTTTAACATTTACTGGCAATTATTAAATATGAACTGTTCCATTATTAGCATCATGTTTCATGTATTGTATATTAATGATGATATTTACCCCAAACCTTAAGTGTAGTGCATTGTTTAATAATGACATGCATGCTTATTAGGGGTGTAACGTAAAATAATTACATATATAAGTTAATATGGATTAGTTTATGTGAGAAATTGAGTATGCAATGTCACTGTGTCTGTTTTTTTTCTTCTTTTTTTTTTTAAACAGTCTTCTTTGTGTCGGTCTGCTCTTCTTTCTGAGGCACAGCAAGCATTTTCCCTTGGCCAAATGTTTGTGTTTTATCACTAAAAATACCAGAGAAAGTGGAGCAGCATGTTGAACAAAAGTGTAATTAAAACAATGAGTTCTACTTAATGAAGGGGGAAGAAACACTTTGGAACACTTCACCTCCAAGATAGGAGCAGCCAACATCTAATTTGCATTTTCAATTACTTACATTTTAAGCCTGATCACCAAGTTTAGTTTCCATTATGGTTAAACCAGTGCTTACAAGTTTTTTTTTTACCTTTTAGTCAAGGTCAAAGACTTTTAGCACTGCCCTTCTTCTTTATGGAAAGGTATTAACACAAGTAAGCAGGTCTATGGGAGAGTCAGTCACTTCAGAACTCTGTGATAACAGTGAGGAAGAGTGTTTAAACAAGGGGTATTTATGTAAACCGAGTAAATTCATGCACCATGCAGTATGTATTTAACTTCAGGAGCACATCATTTTGTCCTTCATACATTCATGCCTCTAAAACACCTTCTACATATTGATATCATGTTAAAAATCTAGCCAAATATTTATTTATGCTAACACTAGTGCTGTTGTTAGCTGATTTTGAATTGTTTTAACATTGACTTTATATTTAATATAGCAGATTGTAGTTTAAATAGACTCTAACATAATCTTTTGGTTCATAAATATAGCTCCAACATTTCTGTGTGCTCTTTTTTATTTCATTTGATTTATGCAATAATAGCGCAACCTGTCACATTAAAGTGCTGCCCAGATTAATTACGTATAAATCTCTCAGAACAAATTCAAAAGGAAATTGGTCAACAGTAAAAAAGAATGAGGACCTAAAAAAAATTTTTTTTTAAACCCAATAAGCGGTGAGAAATGAGCCAGCCATCAAAACAATTAAAAATCAGTAAACTATATTATCTCTAGCATGCGGTGCAGAAAGGCTACAGTATTTGAAGGAATGTGCTTTGAATGTTTTTCCATATATAGAACAGAACTGTGATCCTGACTCCTGAGCGGATTTAACTTGAAATGTGACACAGTCTCAGGGTTTGAGGCTGTGACTAAAAATCCCTATCTTTGTTATTTTTACCTTGGATGCTGAAACTACTTCAATCAGGTCCTCAGCTTTTTTTTCCCTTTCTATGTTTTAAATACTGTGAGGATGATAAAATTTAAGGAGTAGCTGTTGAAAACATATTGACTTATTTAATGCATTCTCAGGGTTCTTAGCATAAACCAGGACAAAACACATTCTTTTTTTAATGGAGATTGCAGCATATTTGTTAACGGTAGGTTGATTTAACTAACAATAACAGCAAAACTGTCTCTTATCTTTGCATTTTCATCATTTGTTGGCTTTTTAATTAATTTCTCTTGCCATGCACATACATTTAAATGCATATAAAATAAGACATATTCACCAATAGTTTTATAACCACACTAAAACAGGTAAATTTTTAAGAACTTCATATTACTTGAAGTTGTGAAGTTTATGTATGTGTGACTTTTTTGTTTAGTTATGTGAAATACAGTAATATATCACACGGTTAGGTTCTGTCGGCACTTTACCTGAAAAAAGTCTTAAAATATATTCCCATCAAGGCTCTTTGTAGAAATTACCATCATACTCTCCTTTAAATGAGGCCAGCTAAACCCTCAAACAGCAACACACTTTATATTCTAAATGATGATCAACATTAGGCCTCCGTATGGATTTATTACCAGAACTACTCCTGGTGCAATTTAAAATCATATTAGGTCCCTGCCACCTCTCCCTGGATGGATGTGCTTATTACCTCCATGTTAAGATGCTTTGATGGGAATCCTCAGCATCCTATTGAGGCATCACTAGCAAACGCGGACCCTCTTTATGCTGTTCTCCACTACATGGGAATAGAGGGAATAGTGAGCGAATACAGGGTTGATGCATTGTTTTGATGATGCAATTTGCAGAGAGGTCTGTTGAAAAAGGGTTGGATGTTTTTGTGTCTTGGTAAAAAAGTGCTCACATCAACTTCCCAATAGAGGTGAGAACATTCATCACTCAGTTACATGTTTCCCCCACAATCAGCTAAGAATGTAGAGGGAAATAGGATTTTACACAACGAGGACAACATTTCAATGATTTAAGAGTGTTTTCATTAATATATACATGTATACATTTTTATTTCAAGGAGCAACGTTTCAGAGTAGCAATATTTCCTTTTCCAGTAAAGCTGGGCAAATCGAAGTTATTGTAGTCAATACGCTATGAATAACTTAGTTTGATCTTTAAACAATTATTTGATGCAAATTACTGTAATGTCAGTATCATCAAAACAAATGTTTAGATGTAGTGTTTGAAGTTTTCTTTATATAAAAGAGGATGCCTTTGCACACTGTTAAAATAACTAAAACGTTTGTTTAACTCTTAAGTTTAACTTCTTTTAATAAGCATCACATTTGATGTTTTAATTATCCTTGAATAAATATTTGTTTTCATTTTAATAGCAAAATCTATTTCAAAGATTGACTCTATTTTATTTTTTTCAAAAATACAGAGATAGACCAAGGCAGTTGCGGAGATCCTGGAATCCCTGCCTATGGCAAGCGGGAAGGGACTGGCTTTCGTCATGGGGACAGGCTGTACTTTGAGTGTCTGCCTGCCTTTGAGCTGGTGGGAAAGAAGAACATCACCTGTCAGAAGAACAACCAGTGGTCCGCTAAGAAACCAAGCTGTGTTTGTAAGTTATTCTTTTGTCAGCTCTATGAGTCCTATATGTTATTTACTAAATGTTGTTGTGGGTGAATACATTTTGTGTAGTTAAGTACAGGGACAGCTGAATTATAAAGGATGCGATTATCCTCACAGTTTGTCTCACAGAGGCTTTGGATTTAGAAACAATAGGGAAAATTTAGGGATTTAGAAACTATTATTAGCTAATTAACTCAATACACAACAAACAAAAAGGATAGTTCAATAATTAGGGGTGTAGGAATAAGAATATAGATGGCTGACTGTGCAGCAATTGTTCCCTGTTTTATCAATGAAATGGACAAAAGCTCTGATATTTATCCCTAAAATTAAGACAATGATGCTGAAACAAATTTAATCGGGCTTAGAATTTGAGGTATTTTGTTGATATCTAATCATCAAATACTTGTATTTATGGGATAAAAGCATTTAGTTCAGGATGTGAAATTATTTATGACACAAAGCAAGTGGGTGCATCTACAGTATGAAGGAATCGTACAAAATAAAAGTAAAGGGACAGGATTAAAAAAAAAACAAACAAAAAAAAAACATTTAAATTCTGAAAAGCTTTTACATTTACCCACCCTGAGTCAGAGTTGTTGTATAACCACTTTTCACTGCAGTTATAACAGCAACAATTCCGGAGAAAAGTCTTTTGTGTTTTGAGGGACTTAGGTTACCTTTTTATTTTTTTTATTTTTTTTTGAGAGATGGCTGAAGCTTAGTCAGATTAGAAAGAGTGCACCCGTTACTCAGTCAGAATTTTTCTCGACAATCGGACCATTCCAACAGATTAATATGCTTTCAGTTCCAATGTTGCTTTATGTTTAGGGTTGCTGTCCTGCTGGAAGCAAACCCTGCACCCCTTTTTTAGTGTCTAAAAGCTTTTCTTCTGTAACTCCCCTGTACTGCATTTAGCTCAATCCGTCCTCCCAACCACTCTGAGTAACCTCACTTTTCCTTTCTAAAAAAATAGCCTCCCCACAGTTTAATGTGGTCTCTATAAAGTTTTACCAGATGGGCTTGTGTTTACAGGGATGTGTAATGTAGGTTGTCCACTAGTCCTTTGTGAAATGTTCATAGCTTCAAATATTATTTTATAACTTTATAGCTCTAAGCACCTGCATGTTTTATTCCCTGAGCTGGGTGCCGTGTTCTTGGATGGCTATTTATGCTCCCGGTTTACTAACATTCTCAAACAAATACTGTACAAACCTTTTAAACAAGGGCTGTATTTATAGAGGAACAGATAACATGCAGTTTGGTGCTGTTTACTTATTACAATGTCACTGTTGAAAGTGATAGCAGGCACAAAATTTAGTCACATAAATCTATTAGAAAGAGGGGAGTGCTAAATACAAATACACACAAAACTTTCCAGCTTTTGAGAACATTTGCATTTTCTATTTAAACAAGGGGGTCAATATTCCCCCCACCACACAATAGAAACAACTATGTGTGGGGAAATATGTCATGATTGGTAGCTTTGAAACTGTAAAATAATTGTGAGGGGTATACTTGTTTTCACAAGGCATTGTGGGTCCATTTTGAGCTTAGGTGGTTAATTAACAAAAAAAATAAAATAAATAAAAAAAGTCCAACAATCATTGTTATCTCCACCTGGTGTAGATACCACTGAGGCATAATTGCGAAAGCTCTTTTCTAGCTATTTATCACACCAAGTTATGGTGTGCTCTTATTAATAAAGGGTTGATAATCTTTGATGATATAGTAATAATCATAGATTTAATTTTACAGCGAGGATACAAATTAGGGTATAAACGAGTTATAATCTGTCCAAGTCGACTATTGGACAGTAGAAGTCAAAGTGGAGTCGATGCACCGTTCAAGTATGACGTCATCGCATTAAATCAGGGTGGGCAGGGGGATACAGGGCAGGTTGGAGCCAAAAAGCAACACTCAATATGTCCAGATGTGAGTCCAAAATGTCAGAATTAGTTTTGAGGTCAAGGCTTTATAGAGTGGACCAAAACAAAGCCTTGTTATGGTTTAGAAAAAATGCAAATTGGACCGGACGGACAGGTTCACCCCTTAGTAATGGGGAGTCGTTGAGGTCTTTGTTAAGCTGCAATACTCAATACTGGCCTATGCCGCTGAAAAGGGAGTCATTAGGGTGACTTAGCTGACAAGGCGAGATGTTTTGGTCCCCTGCATGGCAATGAGGATTGAGATGATAGCGGGTAGGAATCAACTCTATCGCTGCGTTGTAGGTTTTTGAGAGCTAAGTCCATCACCTATGTTTAAGGTTGGTTTTTCTCTCTTAACATAAATGGCTTTCTTCACACCGCTTTCAAACCACCTGTCTTTGTCCAAAATCTAAACATTCTGGTCCTGAAATCTTGGAACTCAATGCTAATCCAGACATTTAAAATTGAAAAAAAACTCCCAGGATGAAAAGCGAAACATCTTCAAACTTCAAACAAAGTCCAGTGGATTGTTTTTTAAACTTTTTTAGAATGGGTGTGACCTGGATGACTGAGAATAATTACTGTACCAGCAAAATATCCTTATACAAATGTATCACAGCTCCCTCTGGTCCAGTTGGTGTGTCATCGCTCTAGACACATCACCCACATTGCGCAGCAATGGTTGTAAGGGGGCCAGGTTTGCTAGTGTGCCCCAGGGCAGTGGTGGCTACAGCCACCATCAGCCTGTAAATGAGTGAATGACTGAATGTATGTCAAAGTGATTCAGAGTCCTCTGATTTGAAAAGGTGCCATTTATGTACAGGCCTTTTGTCTTCTGTGATTTTATTCAACTGTGACAAACATTTTCAGGTTTTATTTGATTTATTTTGTTGTTTTCTTCTTATGCTACAATGCAAAACAAAAAATAAATAAATAAATCTTTGGTGTTTGTCACTGAGTTTAAAATTGATTTTCTGCTCTAAATTGTTCAGTCGTCAGTATCTTCAAGTGAATTTCCACAAATTCACTGTAGTGAATCAAATTATATTGTCTCCCCTTCAGAGAAAGTAATTGGAATTTGCAGAATATTTTTGGTGTCCTTGGTTATTGTGTTTTGACTCTTTCTTTCTGCTTCTTCTGTTTGTGTCTTTATGCCATTTCTAGTTTCCTGCTTCTTTAACTTCACCACTCCATCTGGGGTGCTGCTTTCCCCCAACTACCCCCAGGAATATGGAAACAACATGCACTGTGTTTGGCTCATCATCACCAACCCTGAGAGCAGAATCAACCTGGCCTTCAATGACCTTAGCATGGAGAAACAGTTTGACTTCCTCTCCATTAAGGATGGTGGAAAGGTTCTGCTCAATTATGTTTTATTTGCCTCACTTACTTTTAATAGCTCTTGGCATCACTTCTTGTTATCTATAGATTTGTCATTGTCTTTAAATCTATCCTTACTATCACTACAAGGCCAACTGCTCTCACTGAATATTTGAAACAAAATGTTCTTATCTTTTTCTTCTCTATAAACTGAAAATCTTTCATCTCATCAGCAAATTTTCTGTCCTTTTTCAGGCTGAATCTCCTATCCTTGGCACCTTCTCTGGAGATGCCCTACCTCCTCCCATAACAACAAGCGGTCACGTGGCGCGACTTGAATTCCTGACAGACCATACATACACAGACAGAGGCTTTAATATAACTTTTACAAGTAAGATTCCTGTAAAAAAGGATGCATATGTTTATTTGTGGAGCACTTTTAAACAGTTAACAGCTGAAAATAAAGTGTTGAACGTAACTAATAACAATAAAGAAAAACAATAAAACAATAAAATACAACATAATAAGATAAAATAAGGCAATAATAAGATTTTTTAGGCCAAATAAAAAAAAGGAACAGCGACTAATTCTGGATGTAATTGGTCTCATAAATCATTCCTCATATCACTTTTCCCTGTCTCTAAATAAACTGCTTCTACATTGAAACACACAAACATTGTACAATACATTAAATTAAATGTAAATGTAAATAAAGAATAATATTTTCACCTGACATTTTGTGACAGTGCTCACCCTAATCCATTTTAAATGCCACCTTTTGAGGAAATACCACATGATTTTTATAGCCTTACAAAGAAAACACTGGGTGCTTGCTGGTAAACCTATTTCATGGTTGTACTACACTGTGAGGGTTTCAGCAGCAGAATTATCATTTTTGCTGTCGATGCACTATTGTGCACTGATCCTGATTTCTAAATTTGCACGCACCCAAAGAAATATAAAACATACAAAGATTCATGCAAAACACTTGGTATACACTTCACTTCATCACCTACATGAATTTTGAGTCATGATATAAACCACAGCCAATGTTTTTTATGATTTTAAACATGAAAAGAACATCTAACCAAATTTAAATTAGCACACAATTGTTTTTTAGTACTAAAGTAACTAATTTTAAATTGATATTGACTAATATGGTTTTAGCTATAGAGGCTTCTTCTCTCAACATCCCGGAAACTTCACTCATGTCTGGCAGTTTCTGCATCCAACGAATAACAGTTTAATTCAAAGCTGATTTTTTTTTTTTTAAGTTAAAATAAACCTTTAAATGTTTTTGTTGGTCGGTAAACTGCTGCTAAAATTCAATTCTCTGTTGCGCATGTGCGAGCAGGTATATTTAGAGCAATGTATGCCATTCTGACCGTATATGCTGTCGGAACGAAAATAGATAAGTGGAAATAGGACAATGACGCTACTGATGCTGCTGAATTAAATCCCTATGCCACAGTTTATAGATTTTTATTTGGAATGATGAAAAAATGTGGAAAAAAAATTAGTTGACGTTAATACTTTTCAAAGCAGTGTAGTGACAGAAGAATGCTTTTGAACTCTGGCTCCAATTTAACCAAATCCAGGTATTCATGTTAAGACATGATGATGATAACAAATGGTTGGTAATACATGATTTAGATGGCCATCAAAGTAAAGTCATTGTAGCATGATGGAAAAATATCAGGAGATGTTAATTGAAAACGACATTCTGTTCCTGTGAATAGTGTCATCTAACTGCAAGACAGTTTTTAAGAGGTCATAGGTCTGGGTACACTGCTTCCATCATTCTTGTTAATTAAGGACATGCCAACCTGCACTGAGGCAATTTCTGGTACACTAATAAATATGATATAAGTGATTGATGAAGAGTAGTTGGCACTCTGTTTGGGTCCATTGGATAGCAAAGATGGATTCATCAACACTTGCATGTGTCACTGGATGCTGTGTACACAAGAGTGAAAAAGACTGAGTGAGAGATAGTGGGGCAAGTAATATATTTGCTTACATTCCTTTTTGAGCGGTGATATGTCTTCTTTTAGAGCAACATGTTTTCATGTTTTTTTTTCCTTATCTCAGATATTTTTATTAATATCATCTGGAGTAGATAACCTGCAAGGCAGTGTGGTTAGAGTTAATGCAGGACAGTGAATCATTGGGACTTAAGTATAATTAAATTCCCTCTAGTCTTAGGTAGACTTGGAGTCATGCTTCTATATACTTCATTAAGAAAGGGGGGATAGACTTTGCAATGAAACCTTCATCATTGTTTTGTGGTCTTGAACAGAAACTGATCATCTGAATTGTGGCAAATATGTTTAATTTATCAAATAAAAAAGATAAACTAGAGAAGGTTATGGTATTCTTTGTTCTGCCTGTTTTTATCATTAAATTTCACCTTTATTAGCCAGCAGGTTATTTAATATTGAACACAAAAATAAATTGCAGGTATTGAGAGAATGCTGCAGTAAATGATTTTCTGTATGCCCCCTTTTGAACTAAAATAAGCAAACAACACAGTCTTTAAAGTACACAGCCTCATTGTTGTTATGTGCAAATTGTATGCCTCCTTTTCCATGAGTTGTTGGTGTTTCAAATTAAGTTAATTAGAAAAAAAAGTGGAAATCTGACACCAAACTTGCATATATGTGGATAAAATCATGCAGAATTCATGTAATCATTTGTTAAACCTTTTTTGATAAAGAAAAGTTTTATTGTTTCCAATAAATGCTGCATTAAAAATGTAAAAGGCAGCAGAACTCTTCTTATACCTCTGTTTGTGCCACAAATTAACCACCTCCTTGTTTGAATTTTTCAAAAGCATTTCGCCACAACGAGTGCCCAGATCCAGGGGTGCCAGTTAATGGAAAGCGTTTTGGTGAAAGCCTTCAGCTTGGCAGTTCCATTTCATTCCTTTGTGAAGAGGGCTTTGTGAAGACCCATGGCTCTCAGACTATATCCTGCATTCTGAAGGATGGCAACGTCGTATGGGACAATGCTGTTCCCCGTTGTGAAGGTGAGTGAGGGAATCCCAGCTTCAGAATACATTCTTTTTGATTGGTGTGTGAGAAATGCTTTGGATGACGAGTGAATGCTAGAAGCCATTTCAATGTCAAACACCAGCAGCGCATCACGCCAAAGAAACTGCCAACATTCAAGAATACACATGCAAATGTCATTGTTTTCAAATAAACCTCTTACACGTTTTGTTATGAAAAGTTTGGGAATCGATGATAAAGCAGACAATCCAAGCCAGACGTGTTGCATTTATGTCATAAATTTTGGAATACAAACCTTTTAACTTCCTTTCTTCATGGTCCATTCACAAAAAAATTGTTTTATCCAGATTTATTGAACTTAGAGATACTAAAACCCAAAAAGGGTGAGGGTGTGAGTGTACATGTCAATTCAAACATGTCTAGGCTACTCCATCTTTCACCGTATATATGCTCTGTCACCTAGCAACCCTGACAGTTGACACACAAAGCAGGCAAATAATTGACATTGAACTTCTCACTGCTGTCCTGGGTGCTAATAACATTATTAAAGAGCTTCAGCAGCAGAACTGTTGTCATATCATATTTATAGTCTCCACACTGCAGACATATTGGAATCTGAGCTTAAATGTCAGCCAAACCCATTTGCACAAGGACAGAAAATTATTCAATAAAACAAACATTATCTGCCACATATCTGACTCAATAACTATTTAAAACAACTATTTTCATTCAGTTCAGAGAGAGCTATTTACATACTTGTATTATAATAAACTTCACTTCCAATATTCAGCACTGTTTGGTGCCATTTACCTTTTTCCCCTGAGCACAGAGCAGCCAGCATGCTTGGACTCGCAATGAATCACAGGATACCCTATAGGCTACGTAGGACACACCGGAACTGTCCTTCAAAGTGGGCAGAAAGAGGCTGCATTTGTCGGCCGCATAACGAGATTTCTGATCCAAACAGACCTGTGACGTAATCAGCCAATCTGGCGATTCTAGGACACAGCCGCTCAATTTGAACTCAGCAACAAAACATTGGAGAAAAATAAGAGCAGAATAAAAGCAGATAGTAAAGCAAATAAAACAGTTAGATCACAAGTTTACACCATTAATTATTCACTTAACCCTTTGAAGCCTGAACCATGAAATAATTGACAGAAAATTTTAATTTTTTAAATTTAGAATGTCATGGAACCTACTAAAAATTTTTGTACATTTGTCTAAATGTTTAAATTAATGTTTCAAGAACAACAACCATCACACTGATAATGCAGAAATCTCCAAAACTCATGTATCAAATATGATACACTTGGCTTTAAAGGGTTAACAGTTAAATTTTAACAGCAAAGGTAGCTCTAAACAGAGAGGCTTTTACTTTGACTTAAAAAAACTCAGACTTTCAGCACTTTTCCAGTCTTCTGGGAGTTTGTTCCAGATAAGTGGAGCATAAGAACTAAATTTTGCTTCTCCATGTTTGGTTCTAGTTCTGGGTCTACAGAGAATGCTTGAACTATAAGACCTGAGTGGTCTGGGTGGTACACTGCCAACAAAACTCTTATGTATTGAGGTGCTGATTAATTCAGTGATTAATAGACTAACAGAAGGATTTTTAAGTCTGTTCTCTATATGAGCAGACGGAGTCATATTAAGCTTTTTTTGGACAAAAGGGATATCTTTTTCCTATGTATTGATTTCTTATTATGTAACATTTAAAAACCATATTTTTCAAACAAAACCCTAACCCAGCATTTTACTATAAATGTCCTTATACAACGATTAAAAGTGTTAATCCTGTACATTTAAGTTTATGTGATGATGAAACCGAAGATTATCAAGAGGCTTTTTTTCCCCCAAGTCTCTGAATCAGCAGACAAGCTGTGCTTATGTAGAGATTGCTGATCTTTCAAATTACCCCTCCCTGGGTTTATAATCAATAAACTGTTTGCAGCAAACCAGAAAAGGGCCAGTACAGCTGGCAAAGCTTGAATAAACCTTAGCATTTGCCAAGGTTTTTTTTGGACATCCGCAACAAATCAATGTAATTGCATACATGACAGAAATTCTTAGAGAGCTAATCAAATTCACTATCTGGGATATGCAAAAAGAAAATTGAGTATTAAAACATGTCATTCCCTCCTCCTCTATATTTCTCAGCATGCTTGATATTCCTTTGAGACTATCTATCATACGCCTGCATTTGTAGCATAATGCGTTTCATAGATGTCCTTCAGTATGTTGAGCCGACTGATTAAATCATTCCACTTTGGAGAGAGAGCAGGAAGCTGGTACTGTACAAATAATTCAACCATTTTTGCAATGTGTAGTTAAGGTCATGCAGTTATAGAGATGCCCGGTAAAGTGAGAGCTAACAAAGATGAGAAATAAGAAGAGGCTTGTGCTCTTAAGGGTTTTTTTGTTGTTTTTGTGCAAGTCATCAAAGTCATCTGTTCCATACCTGATAGAGATAACACCTTTCACCTTTGTGTAATACATTTTGCAATGTATTTAAATCAAGAGTGTGGTAAAAGCGTGATATGCATAATACAAACAGATAATGCATGCTATTAAAGACAGATGCATATGGAGTGGTAAGCATATTTGCAAGAGACCTGGTTAACCTTGAAATGTGCCATCACCAGTTTACATTAAATATAGCCTGGCAGTAAAGGAAATGGGAGGAGCCCCAGCTAATGCCAGAAATCATCAATAGACCTTGTCATATATCACCTGGGACAGACATGCATAATTAAGTCTCTGTCTTTTTTTTTTTTTTCTCTCTTCATTTCTTCTTTCCTGCTGTTAGCCCCATGTGGAGGAGATCTGAAGGCTCCCAGTGGGATCATTCTCTCTCCTGGCTGGCCAGAACTATACAAGGAGGCCCTCAACTGTGAATGGATCATTGAGGCTCCTCCAGGCTATCCCATCAAGATCATCTTCGACAAGTGAGCCACATAGTTGGCAAATGTTTTGTTCTTAGATGTTAAAACCTTTTTTAAACATCGCTGGATGTCTCAGTTCTAATATCTTATTCTGCATTTATCTCTATGTTTATTCTCTTTCTCTGTTCTTAGTAGTTTTAAATTGACTGATGAATACACAAACCAACCGTGGGGACCGAAATATTTAAATCTACTGCTAATACATAATCACACAGAAAGAACACAATTTAGCAAACATAAATAGCTAAGCTGAAAGTGTGCATCTCTAACTTGTGACAAGAGTGATTTTTGCAAAAAAAACAATGCTAAGCCATAAACACACCAAATCTGATTTTGTGTGTGATCTGACAGAAAATCCGACGAGGTCGAGGCGTTTGGAGCTTATTGAAAGTAAAACGCGATGAACACTCCTGACACTATTTTCTGAAAGAAGGCCTGCATAGCTATGACTGAGATAGATCCCAGGTCTATTTTGGTCGGAATATGCAGCAATTCAGCGGAAATGTAGGTCTGACAGGAAGAGAGACGCGGTTACAGCGTAAAATGCATCCACTTTGAGGGAAAATACAAAATAAAATCATTTGTCTGTCTTTGATAGGCTACTTCATGATTTACAGTATTCCGATTTTCTAATAAAATTGTACTATGTTTGTTTTTTTTTTTATTCCTAGAAAGCACCCGTTTTGCTGTTCCCCTTGGAATTCTGTCCAGACTTGTCTGCTTCATATGTGAATTTTGTTAGAACATTGTTACAGATTTTTACGTTTCTGCAATGTTCTAGCATTTCTCCTAAAAAGCACGTAGCTCAAACATTCATTTCTTAAGGACAACGAAAGTTTGTCAATTAAAAACACAATTTAGGTTGAGTATACAGGAACGTCCAACCATAGATTTTTTTCCTCTTTTTTCCTCTTTTATCCATTTACTGCACCTTTGTGATAAACTCATTGATGATTCAGCTTTTTGCATGTTTTCATTTCCAGTTATGTGAATCATGTTTAACTTTACTTATATGACATTCATGTTCAGTTTTAATAACCTGACTGTTCATTAATGACCAGCGTTTTGCATTTAATTTGTGTTTGAATCAGGAATCTTCCACATGACTGAATGATGAGCTTTGGGTTGGCATGTCTATCATGCTGTAGAAATCATTACAGATTCCCTTTTACTGTGGCCATTCATTTAAAGAGAACACAGCCACTTGAATTTTTGAAGAGAAAATAAACTGATTTGCTGGATCAAGAGGAAACATGTCGTTCCGATGTCAAAGAAAAGAAAGACAGACAGATGAAGGATTAAAGACTGATTAAATGTTTTAAGTGAAACTCATCCTTTCACAGCCATCTCATCCATGCTCCTGCAGCGATAGGAACCCATTCATAACAAATCTTCTATAAATGTTTGGTGCTCTTTAATTTTTATGTCACATCAATAAAATATCACAAACCGTTTCATTCAGATGACATGGTTCTACAACCAGGCTATTTATTCATGGCTTTGAAGATGAAGTGGCTGCGGCAACAAAGCCTGAAATGCAAACCCCCCCCACCCCACCCGCCTACATCCGCCCCCAGACTCTACATATACACACAACAAACACCACGCCACACACATGCCACAGTTCCACTTTTCAGATGCAATAAAATAGAGTTGAAAAGAAAGATAAAATGTTAAGATCCTCTCTAAGTGCTTTGAACAAAATGTAGTTATTTTCTTTTCCTTTGCTTGGTTATTTTTCTAAAAAGAAAATACCCAGTTCTAAAGTATACCACAGATAGGCTTTTATCTGTGTTACTATACAAAATATAACTCCACTAAATCCGGAACTGTGTGTTTAAGTCGGAATGACATGTATGTTTTATTCAGACTACTGTAGGTCAAAGGCTAGTTTCATTCTGGGAAAAAATATGTGTTATCTTTTCTGAATAAGACATTTCAGATTATCCTCAGCTTTATTTACTAGTTACGATAACATCATCAGTGACCCCTCACAGCCCCACCATGGACTGATTTCCCTGCTGCCCTCTGGGAAAAGGCTTTGCAGCATTCGCTGCAGCCCTGCAGGTTCTGCAACAGCTTTTTCCCCGCTGCCATCAGACTATTTAACTGTTGATACTTTTATCATGACACTAATCATGACTCTGCATCACACTTGTACACATCATATTGCACTACCAACGTGGCATAATCCCTTAAAATACAACACAATTCAATTTTCTGCAGCATTTTGCACCATATTTATTTATTTTGCACTGCACTGAACCTTTCCATATCAATGCCTTTTGCAACATGACTTTAAACAGGTTTATTTTCTCCTACACTGTCTACATTCTGATCAATGCTGCACCTTATAACTGGATATTTTCATTTCACCCTTGTAAGCTGTTCATTCACTGTTGAAAAGCAGTATGCAACAAAATGTCATCTTGTATATAATTAAGTTTGTCTAAGTCTAAGTCGTACAGTATGACAGCGGTTTGATTAAAAATTCACAATGAGAATAAAACAATGAGGCCACTGATTTAACTTCCCTCTTTATGAAAATTTACATAGTGAGTTTAAAAAAATCTAGCCAAGCACCGTACAGGATGAATGTTTGTATATTTCATAAAATAAGATGTTTTTTATCCTATTAAATAGGTTTTTCACATTTAAATACGGTTTAACTATAGAGAGTTTTCATACCACAAAACAAATATCTAACCTTTTACCAATCTGCTTACACTGCTTTACTCAGTTTATGACACTGTAGGCCTGCAACTTTAAACTTTCTTCCAAAGCTGGATTTAGGTAGATCTTGCTTCTTTTTTTTCCTTTTTAGCTTTTTTACTTCTTAAATATTCTTTTTTCATAGCTCAATAAATTCTCTTTCCATGTTTTTGTTGGTTTGTTTTTATACTCTGTTAAATATTTGTCTTCTTTTTTTTTCCAGATTTCGTACTGAGGTCAACTATGATGTTCTTGAGGTGCGGGATGGACGATTTCCCTCCTCACCTCTGATTGGAAGTTACCAGGGCACCCAGGTTCCCCAATTTCTCATCAGCACCTCAAATTTCCTGTTCCTCCTCTTTACCACCGACAAGAGCCACTCTGACATCGGCTTCCGTATACGTTATGAGAGTAAGGGTCAATCCAGTTCAATACAATAAAGCCCAATACACATTCAGAAAAAAACAAGGATGTTAGTTTTTCACCATTTTATCATCACTGTCTATGGGAATTAATCCTTTGCAGAAGCCCAAATTGGAGGCAGTTCCTTTTATTCTTTACGCTACTTATTTTTGGCTATAATAATGATTCTCTGTTCTCATTTTTACCTAAAAACCCTTCTTAACAAAACAACTATAATTTAGATGGAAATGGCTAAAGACGATTCTGTGAATTATGCCTACCATAACACAGACACACACACAGACAAAAATCAAACTAAAGTGTCTCCCATGCGTACTATTAAACTTTTTACTCTTAAACCAGCCTTTTCTAATCATGTAATTTAGTTCTCTCTGCAATCTTACTCGTGTCTCTATATTAATGGCACCACTGGTAACATTTAAAGCTTTCTCTACGGGAAAATCTCTGTCCAGCTTCAAATAATTACTTTAAGCCTTGGAATACCACAGGATATGAAAAACGGAGGGGGGCATGGCTTAAGAGTTCTTATTGGTTAATGGATATTAAGGGCTATATATATTTATTTGAATTATTTATTAAGGTTTTAAAAAAGGGGATTTGGGCATCATAAGACAAAGATTTTTTTTCCCAGCTGTTTTCATTTGGATTGTTTATTTATCATATCTTATTTTCCTGTGGTCTTTTATTCCAGCTTTGCAGCTGCAGTCGGACCACTGTGTGGATCCTGGCATACCTGTGAACGGCCAACGACATGGCAATGACTTCTATGTGGGCGCGTTGGTGACATTTAGCTGCGACGCCGGCTACACACTAAGTGATGCTGAGCCTTTAGAGTGTGAACCCAATTTCCAGTGGAGTCGCCCCCTGCCTAGCTGTGATGGTACGTTCCATAATATTGACCTAGAAACAATTATTAGCTGGAATTTCTTTTTTTTTTTTTTCTCCCACTCATAACTGGGATTAAAGAAGAATTCTTTGTGTGCTTTTTATGAATGAATATATAATCTCAGCATTTTCTTAATATTTTATCATATGAATATACATTACGAAGTAGTTAGAAAATATTTAAAAGATGAGCTCCTTAAAGGTTACTAGTTTTACATATTTGTTCAGAAATGTTTTGTATTTCTACAATAACCCTTAATGTTCTTCTTATCAATAAGAAACTTTGTATATAAAGAATGTATTGATGTCAATATTCTCTACTACTGATGTTAATAATGTAATCTTCTGTTTAATTTTTACCCGAAAGATTAGTCTGCTTAATTGTTATTTTTTCAGAAAACAAAGTTCTTTTCTCATCCTCATGTTTTTCCTTCTGCTTCTACTTCTCTCTGTTGTCAGCACTGTGTGGCGGCTATATCCAGGGCAACACTGGAACCATCCTTTCTCCTGGCTTTCCTGATTTCTACCCACACAACTTAAACTGCACATGGACAATCGAGACCTCCCACGGAAAAGGTTAGCACAGGAAACCCGTGTCAAAACATGCCGCAGTCAAATTCAAGTCCCGTTACAATGTCATTTCCCCCTACTGAGTGGCCTTTTTATTTTGCCGGACTAGCTGTCTTTGTCATAGTAGGTTGCTGAGAGGCTGGCCTGAGGCTGCGCCGCCATGGGATGACTCTCCAGTCATGTCCCCTTTGGCCGAGCTCTCACATCAATTTGACACAGCCTCATTTGCAGATGCTCCATCTCTGAGAGAGTGTCTGATAAATAATTAGCAAAGAAGATACAGGAGAGTAGCTTCTTATCCAAAAAACATTTTGAAAAGCTTAGCATATTGTTCATTATACTCACCACAGTAAATGTCAAATTATTACACTAATGGAATAATACATTATTTTAAAAATGTGATATAATTTTTACATTACCTAGAATAAAAAAAGACTAGATTTGTATTTAACCCATAGGAAAATAATAAATGTTTATGCAATGTTTTTTTTTGTCTTTTAATTCAGGTGTACAGTTCACCTTCCACACCTTCCACCTTGAGAGTCCTCATGACCATTTGTTGGTGACGGAGAATGGCAGTTTTTCTCAGCCCCTTTGGAGACTGACTGGCTCCACTTTGCCTCCTCCTTTAAGCGCGGGCCTGTTTGGGAACTACACAGCACAGATCCGCTTTCTCTCTGACTTTTCTGTTTCTTATGAGGGATTTAACATCACATTCTCAGGTGAGTTTTTACCTGCAATTGCAGAAGAAACTGGGAGACTGTGTTTAGCCATGCAAATTTTGCAGAGTCAAATTGGAAGGTAAACTGAGGAACCTGAACTAAAATATTGCTCCATAACAAGAGAACTGAATTAACATTCAACAGCTTAACCTGGGAAAACACAGAAAATTTACTGTAGCTGTTGCTGAGTTCCTTTGCAGAATCTCAAAGCAGTCACTTACCAAATTCATTTAGGTCAGCCAGCTAACGAAGTGTGGATTTTACTTACAGGCTTTCAAAATATCCAATTTATTATGAAAACAAAGTCTATGTTTTCTCCTCCAGTTTGGATTGATAGAATCACAGAAAGCCCAATAATTAAACCTTTTAATTTTCCATTAGATATAGGAAATGTTACAGTAGAGAAACATTCTTGACAGATTTATATTTTGAGGTGTTAAATAAAGATGCAATACCAGGCTCAGATATTGACTAATTAGCTGAATGGGATATTGGGAATTGATACCGGAGATCCAATCAAATACATTTCACTTGGAACTTTTATTTATTTATTCTGCTGCTTATTTTTTTATGTAATAATGCAAAGTACCTTCTCTCACATAAGATGTATGGTTCATTCTTTCACCAGTTGAATGGGAATGGATGTCAGCCGATACGCTCTGCACAAGGATCAGTATCAGATTGAAACAGAAAAAATAACTGAATCGATGCATCGCTAGTATTAAAGTGACAATTAAGTTTTCTAGCTGTCAAAGTAAAGAGAAAAGATGTCAATGATCATGAATACTTCAACTTTATTTGGATCAGTTTTTTTTCCAGTTTATAGTTTTCCATCGTATAAGGCATATTTGCCTTTTATGACATTAGTAACACAATATTCTGCCATCCTAAATAGTGTCATGATTTTCCAGTGCTGTAAATTAGATGCGATCTAAAGTCGTAACACTTCAGCTTACACAAGGTCTGTCCATCTGCCAAGCAAAAGGGTTTAATTCTTAGTTTTTCATTTTGTCGTTGACAAAAGTAGAGCTAATGTTGTAGGATTGGGCTCACTATATCTGTTAACCTGAATTTCTTTTTTTTTTTTTTTTTTTTTGCAACAAATGATGCTGTGGTTCAGCAGGAAATGTTCTACGAGATTTTAAACCATTTGACTTGAAGAAGACTTTGGCTCAAATTAATATTTAAAGATTTTCTTTAATCATAAGATCTGGGCTGTGTCTGAACATCCACCCCAACCCCTAAATCCCTCAAGCACTATATAGGGCAGCTACTATATAGTGGACTTGATAGCAAACTCAGTTAACTTACTGTTCGGATCACTACTTTTCGCTCCCCGTTGGCCACGTAACTCCACCACATGGTGCCTGCTCCATCTTTATTATTAGTCGCCGCTGTCGCTACCCAACAGTGGGCAGCCGTGACCACTAATCCCATAATGCTTTGCGGAGAGAGTTTTTGCGAAGCATTCTGGGATATATCTGCTCGTTTAGTGACAAGAGACGATCACTACTTTTCAAGTAGCATTGTGTGAAATTTCAAGTCAACTACTTTTTCATCCACTAGACCTTTGGACTAAAATGGAATAACCACTATAAATTGCTCTACTTAGTAATTAGGGTGGACATTTGGACACACCCCTGGTTTGCTCTCCTCTTATTTAAAAATGGGTCTCGAATGATTTGCTGCAGCTCTACACAATGCAACATCCTTTGAAAGAATCTGAATAAAACATGAATCCTTCATGGCCCTGCTGTAAATCGTACTGACCTTATATTTGTTTATATTTCCCAGAGTATGATTTGGAGCCCTGTGAGGATCCTGGAATCCCGCCATACAGCACCAGAAAAGGTCTCCAGTATGGGGTTGGGGATGCCCTCATCTTTTCCTGTTTCCCTGGTTATCGACTAGAGGGTCCTGCGAGGGTGGTGTGCTTAGGGGGCAGAAGGCGAGTGTGGAGCTCCCCTCTGCCAAGGTGTGTTGGTAGGTGGTCAATTGCTTTACTTTTTTTATTTCACCACACTCCCAGTCCTAGCTAGTCCATTCACAAAGTCCTACAAATGAGAAAATTTAGTAAACTACAATTATACCAGAAAAGGAGACATTTTATTTGAGTGTTCTCCTCATTAGCAGCTCTTTTCACACACGTTTTGTCTCTTTGTTGGATGGCTTCCCAGACACAGTTTGTGTGACTCTGTCCAAATTATATAGGGCAGAAGTTTTAATGAGGATGGCTTCAAAAAGCTGAAATGTGTTAATTATTGATGTGACTTGTTTTTTAATGCAAAGGGAAATGACAGGTCAAGATATAGGTCAGTTTATTTGTTTTATGACACAACAAACATTTACTGCTACATTTATCTGTTAATATGAAAATGAATTTGATCCCAGTGGCCATAATTAGTGGTAAATCACACATCAGAGATTTCATTGACCTCCTCGTAGTCATCGTTTTACTGAAGCTCTGCTAAAATGCTTTACATATTAATTAAGTTTAGCTACCTTGCAAAAAAAAAAAAAAAAGAAAAAAAAATACTCATGATTATAGCTTCCTTTTCTGCTGCTGTTAATCCATCTGTAGCATCAAGTTGCTTGTTTTGGGGTTCTTGCTTTCTTTGCCCCTAGTTGAATCCGAGCCTTTGAAAGCTGACAGTGAAGAGACATTCAGGCATTTTCATACCTCTGTCGCTGTCTGCCCTATTTTAGAAACTTCCCACTTCTCCATCAATACAGTCTAATCCACTTACCTTATTATACCTAGCTGCATTCCCCTGAGTTAAAAGCCAAGGTACATTAGTGGGCATTTTAAAATCCTGCAGCAATTTTGCTATAGAAAATGTTGTCCTTTTTTGACTCTGGACCTGATGTGAAGCATGAATAGCAATTTTCAGATAGAGCTGAAATTACAGTTAATCATATTCAGATTTCAGCGCGATTATGATGATGTCTCGCTGGGCATTCAGGTATAGGTAGTCACCACATTTTTCTCCATATGAACTCGCCCATCGCCCTGTGCATGACAACGGCAATAAATACCTCGTGAGTTTCAAGCATATAGCGATTGACATGTCCTCTGTTCCCTTCTGTCTCTGCCTGGATCTCTGCTCCCTCTCCCTTTTTTCTAGCTGAATGCGGCTCATCCGTGACCGGCATGCAAGGGGTGCTTCTCTCACCCAACTACCCTGGTTACTACGGCAACAACCACGAATGTATCTACTCTATCCAGACACAGCCTGGCAAAGGCATCCAGCTAAGAGCACGGGACTTTCGGCTGGAGGATGATGACGTTCTCAAAGTGAGGGGGTGGTGGGAGTAGCATCTTCCACAACTCTATGCTCAGCCTTGTTTGCATATCTGAGTGTGCACACCTGATGCTGCCTCCCACTCATGAACTACTTTCTTCCTTTCTTCCTATCCTCCAGGTCTTTGACGGCAGCAGTAATAAGGCTCGTCTCCTGGGAGTGTTTACAGAAAACGAGTTGCTAGATGTAACCTTGAACTCCACCTCCAGCTCCATGTGGCTGGAGTTCCTCAGCAATGCTGAGAACACCAGTAAAGGATTTGAACTGCACTTCACCAGTAAGAAACAACCCGCTTTTAAACAAATAAAGAGCTTCTTAACCTCTAGAATTGCCAACATTAGATTTTTATTCCCTTTTTATTTCTTTTTTTTGCCTTCATCCCCTTTAAAAGTAAAAGTAAAACTAGAAATGTTTCACAAATTTGGATGTTTCGACTACCAGAGTTAAAAATCAACGCTGCACTGTGAATACATAGTAAAGCAGCATGATGGACCTAAAATATCCCTTTGCTTAAAGAAAATCGATTAAAGGTTAAGAGGTCTAACACATAGAAGTACTAAAAGGCCGAAGCTACAAGGAAATATCACTGAAATGACAGTTATGCTAGTTAGTCCAAATCCAATTGGGGATCTTTAACAACTTTTAAAAAACAGATTTTTATCTATACAGTCTGTTCATTCTCACATATCTTTGGCATTTTTTTTTTTACAAAAAACAAGCAAAAATAAAACTGGTCTCCTTGTAAATCTAATAAATATAAATGCAATACTTTTTGTGGTTTTATTTAGAATACAGGTAAAATACTTTAAGCGTGTGGTTGTCATGGGAAACACTTTGAAGGGTGTGAATACTTTTTCAGCATACTTTGAAAATGATTTATTTTCTCTTTACTGCTTTTTTAATTTTTGGCTTTTTTTCTGTTTCTTTGTGAAGGTTTTGAGCTGGTGAAATGCGAAGATCCAGGTGTCCCTCAGTTTGGCTATAAACGTGAAGACAAAGGTCATTTCGCAGGAAGCACCGTGTCGTACAGCTGCGACCCAGGCTACACCTTAAAAGGTCCTGAGGTGCTCACCTGCCTCAGGGGTGAGAGGAGAGCCTGGGACAGCCCACTCCCCCTCTGTGTTGGTGAGTTATGTCTTACATTTACCGATTTGTGCCTGTTCTGCAAAAAATTTAAATCTAAATAAGAACTTTTTTCTTAAAACAGTTGCATTTTTTCTTGAATTGAGAAGGCGAGTGAGACACTTCGGCAATGGAACAAGATAATTTACTTTAGAATAAGTAAAAAACAATTGCATTGTCTTATTTGAAGTGCATATTATCTAATTATTTTACTTTAAGAGTAAAAACACTCATCGCATTGGCAAATCATCTTATTTACCTACTCAATTTAAGGGTAAATACACTTAATTTAAGAAATGTTGACTTATTTTTAGATCATTTTTGCAGTTGTGCTGCTCACAAGGGGTTTAAGCTCACATTTACTACAAGACAAAAAAAAAGGTGTTTAACAATTACTTCACCAAATATAATCATATTTCTTTTTCTTGGGAATTTAGAATGTTATTGCTATGCTGAAACCGACTAAAGCAACACGTGACAAAATAAAGCTCACCTCATGCTATCAAACCAGACAGGAAATGTTGCATATTCCTTTTTAAGCTATCTAGCTGCTATACCTCTTATTGCAACAAAGCCATGTCATATCATTCTTAAGTAACATGAATTCCAAAGGTTCTCCACACTTTGCATGGTTAAGTGCACTATTACCTTTTCTTACATCAGTACTATTTATATTTTACGTTGTGTTTCGTCACTGACCCAGTTCTTCCTCTTAGTTACATGAATGCTGCAGTTTTGGTTTTATTTCTTTAAACAGGCTTTTTTAAATCCCTTACATTGAAGGGACATCAATTTATTTTAATGCTTTCCCAGCAGCTTACACAGTATTTACTTCTATTCATCTTTTTTTATTATTTATATTGCATTGTGATTACAATTTTGCTTTAAATTAAATATGTTTTCTCCTGATCAAGAATACCAATATAACATTTTGCTTGTCAACATAAAGCAAGAACATCATTCTGAGGTTCTTTCGGGGCGCTTTGGTTGTAAATTGTTCAAACTGCAGTTAAATAAAAGGGCCACCGATACATTTATAGCAAGTTTCTATAGTGCTCAGCTAACATTATGGTGATGCTAAAGCCGCCAACTGAAACATGCTGGCAGTCTTTCAGAAAGCACCCAGAAGAGTGGGATAAAAAACAACTTGTCAGGTGTTCCTTGACACATCGACCAGTGTGATTAGAATAGTATTGCTCAGCTCTCCTTTCAGCCCATACTGACAGGTAATTTCATGTCTGGGTGTAAACAACATTCAGCAAACTGTGTATCCCTGAAAACATTTATCCTTGGCATGACTTCAGTGGAGGTGATACTTTAACAGGTAAGGTGAATTCTGGGGCAGATTAGAGACTATTTTTCATTGCGGGGGACTTTTTAGCAGTCAGACAGGACACACACAAAAAAAAAAACTCAGAGTAAAGTAAAGCAGCCGACCAAAGCAGATAGAAGGAGGTTGCATACAGACAAATCTGAGTCTCGACAGGAAAAGCTGTGATGTATAAAGTGAGGTGCACATTAATGGGAGGGCATATGCAGTGGTCTCCAATATTCATACCAACTTCAATCTCCTTTTTAAAATTGCTAAAAGTCTTTAACAGCATATATCTATTAGAGATTTTTTTTCTGTGCTTTTATTCAAATTTCAAGACTTAGAGAAGATCAAAAGCTTTGCAGTATTCCATTTGTGCAAAAAGGACAAATTCAAATAAACATTGTTTTTAACATTTTTGTAAAGATTTTGAAAACATATTTTATACTTGTACTGTATGAAATATTTATAAGATACTTAGACGTTAAAAAAAGATAACAATACAGTATACTGTAGATGTTATATTTCAGATATCAAATATTATTATTAATATTTCTGCTTATCTTTGCTATCATTAAACTGCCTAAATAGATTGTGTTAAAAAATATAGTTAAGAAAAACCAAACCACTATGAGGAAAAATGCAAAACAAAAACAAAATCATACATTGTTTGAACAGTGAACGTTTGCCTTTGACTTTTCCTGTTTCTATATTTCCGCCATTTGTTTCTTTAAAATTTTATTTATTTTATTTAACCTTTATTTTACCAGGAAGTCCCTTGAGATAAAATCTCTTTTTCGAGGGAGACCTGGCCAAGAGGAAGCAGTACAATAAGACATATAAAAACACATAAAAACAACATAATGAAATCAATCATAAACTAGACTCTAGAATAACAGTTACAATTCTCTGTGCAAGCGGTTTTCAATAGTGATTTAAAATGCTTTAGCGGAATAATAAAATAAAATAAAACCCTAAAAAATAAATATGGTTATTTTAACCTCGATCTCCCACAGCAGTCATTTTGACGGCTCTATTATTTGCATTGCAAATTCTTCCCGTTTGTCGTTTCTACCGTTGCCTAGCGACTAAAATTATACCTAGAAATTTCTGGAACTCTTTGGCTAATATGGAAAAATGGCTTTTCAGAGAAAGCTAACAGCAAAACAGCTTTTAGAATTGCTTCAAAAATATTGATGACACATGCGCTACAGAGAGCCACACATTACCGACCCCTCCGCCACAGAAGATCCATTCCCAGGTGTGTCAAATGAAATTGTAATTTCAAAATTTGAACCTATGTATTAAAACAGTCTTATTTATTTTACTGATTTATTTTTAAAACAAATTTTTGACTGTATATAATAGCATATACTGTAATTCAACCTTTAAAAAAGTATATTAGACCTGTTTTAAGGTCTTCATATCCACAATGGGTTTACAATGCACACTATATCCATTTCAGTCAATGACACCATTACTACTTTTGCATTTCAATGGAAAAAAATGCTACCCATCAAACTGACTGTCAGTGGGAGTTCTAGTGTTAAAACCTTGGTAATAAAGCTCACAACACAAAGGCTTAAAGTGTGTCTGTTGCTCGATACACAGAAAATAACTATTTATTTGCAGCTTATCTAATGGCAGATTATGACTTAAAGCTAGAGAAGAAATAAGGATATTTTCCCCTTTGTTCTTCAGCTTATAAATGTAGCAGGATGAGGTCAGGGTTCTCACAGTGGTCTGGTTTCTTCCAATTGTAATCTCACAGTGTTTGTTGAACTGATGCTTGCCACCTCATCATTCAAGTTGCAGACAAGTATTTGGAAAGCATCACATCTGCGTTACTGACTACTGCGTCAATAAGTATAAACTGATTGTGTGTAATTTCCTGGAAGTGGAAGCTGTTGTTTTTCTTACTTTAAGTGTGCGATTGTTGCACGATTTATTCCTCCTTTTTAACTGTGCCTATTGATTTTCTCATCTTGCTTTCTGTCCTCCTTTTAGCGGAGTGTGGGGGCACAATCAAAGAGGAGCCTTCTGGTCGTATTCTGTCTCCAGGATACCCTGCTCCATATGAGCACAACCTGCACTGTGTGTGGACCATCGAAGCTGCTCCTGGAAGCACTATTAGGTCTGAAAAATAACCTTTCTCTTGTTGACTTTTGTTTTCATACTTCAGCTCTTCAATTCTTCTCTGTATAGACTTTATTCTTTCCATTCATTCTGTGACAGTCTACCTCTCTCTCATATATTGCTATATAATTGACTTCAGAAGGAAATTAGAGCAGGGGTGCCCTGGTTTGAATCGTACCTCACTGGCCGATCATTCAAAGTATCCTGGCTTGGTTAATATTCTCACCACAGGTTCAGTACTGGGACTCCTTCTGTTTGCCATATACACCACAACACTTGGCCACATCATTCAGTCACATGGTTTCTCATACCACAAAACCGAATCGGTTGTTATCCCAGCCAAACCTACCAAACCCCACAATATTCACATCCGGATTGAATCCCTATCTCTGACTCCATCAGAGGCAGCAAGAAACTCAGCTGTTATGACCAATCAGCCCAAAAAGTCTCGCATCACCCCTCTGTTCATTGACCTTCACTGGTAACCCCTGGCTGCCCGCGTCAAATTCAAGTCCCTGATGTTAGCCTACAAAGTGCTTAAGTGTACGGCTCCCATCTAGTTGAACCCTCTTGCAAAGGCTTATGTCACAACTCGGTCACTCTGGTCAGCAATGGATTGTCGTCTAGCAGTGCCTACCCCAAGCTTAAGACAATCCAGACTGTTTCCATGTGTTGTTCCGAGATGGGAGTGAGACCTAGTACCTAGCGCTACAAGAACAGCAGCGTTCCTTCCTATCTTTAGGAAACTCATTAATCAACCTCACAAAAAGAACATCTCTTATCCTAACTCTTATGCATAGCTCTGTACCCCTCTGCTACTCTTTATGTACTTCCTTTTGTTTCTTTTTGCTGTTCCCACTATTATTGTTATTATAAATGCATAAACATCTTGAAGTCCCTGCAATTCTGAAATAAACAGATTTATCTCTGGAACATTATTTGTTGATGCAGGGGGAGTGGGGGGAATAATAACTTGGGAGAAATTACTGTTGAGAAAATAATTGAAATGTTAGACACAAGTAAAAGTATTTGTCTTTTAATAACCATCTCTGTTCTTTCCGTTTTGAAATCATAGAAAGTAGGATCCAGTCTTGGCAGTGACCTGTACTATTAAAAGTTGGTGAAACAAAATGTTCTCTTAATAAACAGGTGAATTAATACTCAAAATCATGTTCCTCTTGCTGAGAATGGTTATTCTTTGTCATTTGAGACAAAAATAATTATTTTTTAGATCATTCTCCATACTGCTAACTTTTTTTTTCATCTTTAAAACCCCCTAAGCCCTTTACTAAAAAAAACTATTTCATATGCTTAATTAAAATACTCAATACTGCATTTCGGCAGATGAAAAAAAAAGAAAAAGTTTTTCATCATTTTGAACTGTTGTTCATAAAATAGCATATTGGTTGAAATTCATGACTTTTTTTTAACAATTACTTTAAACTTCCATCGGATTGAAGTTCAGTTCACCAATACCAATGTAAAAGTAAAAACATTGAAAGTGAATCTAATATAGCTGCTTTATTTGCGTCCCGCACACAAGTGTTCCTGAAATGCTCCATATCTGTCATTTGACAACTCTAATGTTATCAAGTATTCCATAATTAAATCTAATAAGTATATATATATATATATATATATATATATTTATCATTCTCTATACCTAATGCTTAATAGTAATGTAAATCAATTTTCTGATCAAAAACTCTTCAAATTATTGAATATTACTTGAACTTTTTAGGCATAGCTAATATTAATGGTGTATTAGCATTTCAATATATTTAAGTTCTAAACTTTTTTCCCACAGCCATATCCTGACTACCTAATTCCCTTTATTTTTTGGTGTAATTTGTATTTTAGACCTGTCAGCGCCTGACCATAAAATAAATGTACCAACTGTTTTACTACAATATCTGTGCATCAAGTGGAATAAGATGTTTGTCCAGTCATCTCCATTTTTGTGTATTTTTTTTTTTTTTTTT